CATGCTACATAGATTTCGAGTTCACTAAAACAAGCCATAGTTCTTTTTTTTTTTTTGGTAAAAAAAAACATTACTACAAAAAGCCAAAGTTATTAAACAACTTAGGTGCAAATTAGAGTCATCATGCCTTGATCATAGAACAGAACTTGAACATAGGAGGAGATGCTTTGTCTTCCCAAACCAACTCCAACACAAAAGATTCGTTTGCCTTAACGCCAAGAGCCTCGAAGAATTCTTTCAACCCTGAAGCAAAACGCAACCTCATATATCTCTTTTCCATGTATAGATACACTGGCCACTCTACTCCATGCTTGTCCAAAAGAGTTATCTCCTGCCCTCCTGCCTTTTCCATCTTGTGAACCCTAGTGAAGTTCACTGGAAGATACTGCATAAGAAGTAGACAATAAGCTTATAAGTACTTCACAAAACATCAATACCGAACAAAACTCCTCCAAGAGAGTTTACTATAACTTACAAGTCTAGAATCTTTGAAACTCGCTGGTGTTACAGTTAGTGTCACAAATCGGTTTTCACTTAGTGCAGCTCTACTTTGACTACCTTCACCGGTTTTAATCTTCTTCTCTTTGCTGCTATGTTTTGTGGAAACACGCTTTGATTCCACACAAGTGGAGAAGCGGAGAAGAGGCGTTTTCGTATTGTTTCTCTCTTGTTTAAACGTGACAGTATCTCCGGGTTTGAGCCCATTATCGTTGCAGAAACTTCTCCAGCCACACCTCATGTAAAATGTTCCATTTGACTCTCTAAACCTCAGATTAAACGTCCATGTCCTTCCTCCTTCATCCATTAGAACAATCTTGTGGCTTCCTTTATTCAGACCTTCGGGCCTAACAAACTTCTTTTGAAGATACTGCAATGTTAAAATTAAAACATGAGTAAGGACTTTTATGGCTCTCAAAAGAAACAAACAGTYGATCTGAAGTACCAACCAGCCTATCATATTGTAGGTTCGAATCTGTTACACGTACAACCAAACAAGGCTGATCTGATGAAAAAGAAGACTCTGCTTCTGCTTCAAGATTCCTTTTCTTGGCATGTTTATTTCTCGGAAACTTTCCTGTTTTGGTCAAAGTCCGACATGTTAGACCTCGTAGATATATATGTCCTTTAAACACCCACAAATTAGTACTCATCTCTACATTGACTTACCCATGTTGTCTTTGACTTTAACATCATCGTCTGGTGAAGACTGATCTGGTTCTGTTTTTAGATTTTGCTTTGTTGACAAGTTTCCTGATTCACAACGAGAAAAACGTTATGATCTTCAAAACCTAAAGGTTAAATAAATTTCATGGGAAGAAAAGAGAACACTACTTACTGATGTTGTCATCTACATATTGAATCTCACAGCAACTAGGTCCAAGACCAGTGACGTGGAACACCATATCTCCTTCGTGTCTAAAAATGATGATATCTCCGACTCGGAAATCGTGTGCGTCGGCGAAATCTTTCCATCCGACGGTGAGTTTCCGACCTTCCATCTTAACTTTCCAAGTTTTCTCACACGCGTCCGACTTAAGCTCCACCATATTTTTCTTGTTTCGTCCTTCTATGTATTTAGAGAAGAACTTCACCGGAATACTCTGCAACAAACACACACCGTAAAGAAGAAGACATTGAGAGATATAGAGAGAGGGAAGAAGGGAGATTACGTACGAGGTCGGAGTGGAAGCCGGGAAGAAGAGGTTGAAAGAAATGTGGGTTTGTTGGAGATTGAAGAACTGGTTTCGCCATTGTTCAAAAGATCAAGGAAAAGAGCTTCGAAGATAAGAAAACAAAAACTACACAAACACAGATCTAAGTTTGATGAGAAAGTGTGCTTTTGTACTTCTTATATTCTTATTTATGGTTAACCTACTTTCTTTATGACACTTCCATCTACATTTTTAGTGACATTTAATTCTCGTTCATTCAAATAAGGTTGTAACCACATCAAACAGTATCTTTTTTGTTCTTTTCTGATGAAGTGAAGATTACTATTGCTTTCAATTTTTAGAGATATTAGAAAAAGAACATGTGTTTAGTCCATTTCAAAAAAGTTGTTATATGTCCAAAAAAATGTTTGTTAAGATTCGGATCGTGGAATAAAAAGACACTTAATATTAACGATTCGTCAAACTCAGTTTCACTTTATAAATTGATTATTACTTTTGTTGAATTGTTTTTCTGATTCCAAGTATCTTCTACTCTATTTCTTCCAACATGAAACTGTTCAGACCCTGAGTAGAAGGAACCAAAACAAAAACTAAAAGAGCTTTAGTACATGCGTAGATTATGTTTCAGATCATACATAAGTTGTCGATATCATGTTCCACTGTCTCGAGCTGTGCCAGAAACCCTCTGATACTAGTTCAAGTATCTAAAACGTTCTGTTTTACCTAGCCCTAGTTTCACCTTAGCCACTTGATATGACACAGATCAAGGTTGCGCGCGCTGCAAGTTTCTTGAATTAGCACTAGATTTGTTAAATTCCCTAGTCCGTTGAGAGGGTTCTCCTTTTTCAGCTGTCTCCTGACTCCATTTTTTAACTCGATCTCTCTTGTGTACTCGAGCCTCTGCTTCAAATGGTGGTTGCTCCTCTCATACTAGTTGTTTAGTAACTTCAACTTAGGAGAATGCCAAAACGTGGATTACAAGTTATTTTCTGTTCACAAACCTTGGAGCAGAACTTGAGCAAATGATTTTTCCCTCCTCGAATTAACTCCAAAGTTAGAGACTCTCTTGCGACTACTTCATTCGCTGCACAAAAACTTTTCCAACAATTACCACTCCACTACTATTATCCAATTACTTATAGAAACTACAGACAATCATACACATGATATAGACATGTGGTGTTCTTACTGGTTTTCAAGACCCTTAATTATATTAGATATGTGGTTACCTAAATAGACACATTGACTCGTACCTAGCTAGTTCATAACTAGACATTGGATTCATACTACATAGCTTATGAGTTCACCAAAACAGGTCATACTTGTTAACAACTTGGACGCGAAATTAGAATCAGATCTTGATCTTGGAACAGAACTTGAATATAGGAGGAATTGTAGTGTCTTCCCAATCCAACTCCAACATAAAAGATTCGTTTGCCTTAACGCCAGTAGCCTCGAGGAATTCTCGCAACCCTAAACCTAAATGCATCTGTCCATTTCCCTTTAACATCACTAGACTCACTGGCCACTTCACTCCATGCTTGTCCAACAGATTTATCTTCTTCCCTCCGGCAGTTTCCATCTTGTTATCCTTAATGAAGCTACGCGGAAGGTACTGCACAAAAATAGAGACAATTAGCTTATACTCCGTGCACTTCACAAAGCATCGATACCAAAAATACGGGAAAAACTCATCCAAGAAAGCTGTTTAAACTTACAAGTCTACAATATTTGATACTGGCAGGTGTGACAGTTAGTGTCACAAGTCCCTTTTCACCATCTTTTCTCTTCCCTTCGCTTCTATGTTTTGTGGAATCACTCTTAGTTTCTGCAGTGGAGAAACAGAGAACGGGCGTTTTGGCGCTGTTACTCTCTAGTTTAAATGTGATGGAATCTCCAGATTGAAGCCCATTCTCGTGGCAGAATCTTCTCCAGCCAGACCTCATGTAAAATGTTTCACTTGACTCTCTAAACCTCAGATTAAGTCTCCATGTCTTTACTCCATTCATTAGAACAATCTTGTTGCTACCTTTCTTCAGATCATTGGACGTAACAAACTTCCGTGGAAGAAACTGCATGCAGAGGTTGAAACATTAAAAACATGAGTAACCAACGAACTTTCATTGCTGAAAAAGTGGAAGAATCAAGAGTAGATTTGAAGTACTTAACCAGTCTATCCTCTCGTAGGTTCGAATCACTGATATTTGCTACAAAACAAGAACTGTCTGATAAAGACTCTAGTTCTGTTTTTAGATTCTGCTCCATGGACAAGTTCCCTGAAGTACACACAACAGAGTAAAATAAAACCTTCTGATTTTCAAGAATTGTCTGATAAAGAAAACAGAACACAACTTAACTTACTGATGTTGTTCTGTTCATATCCAACCTCGCAACAACTTGGTCCAAAACCGGTGACGTGGAACATGAAATTTCCTTCGTGTCTGAAAACGATGATATCTCCGATTCTGAAGTCATGTGCACCGGCGAACTCTTTCCACCCGACGGTGAGTCTCCGGCCATCCATCTGAACTTTCCAAGTTTTCTCACACGCGTCAGATCTTAGCTCCACCGTGTTTCTTTCGTTTCTTCCTTGCATGTGTTCCGAGAAGAACTTCACCGGAACTTTCTGCAACAGAGAGACACACCAAAGAAAGAAGACGAAGCCGTTC